TCTTCTAGAGTTAGCAGGAGAAGATTGCTTTGAAGGTACAGGCAAGACTGTTCCTCCTTTTATGCTGTCCGAGTCCGTCATGTCATTAAGTGTTTTTTGGGCCTGAATATAGACCGTAAAATCTCTAATCTGCAACAACCATCATTTAAACTGGTTACGAACCCAACACTACTTCAGAACGCTTGCAAACTAGCAGAAACTTGTAATTGCAATACCTGTTCTTCCAAATCGACTATCTTTTCCTCTCTTAAACTCAGCGATGCAGCTTCCCTAAAAGAACACAGAGTTTGAATCACGGAGGATACCAATACGGAAGAATTCACTGCCACTTATTATCGCAAACTAATATGTACCTCTCATCGATTTCCTTCAACTTTCTGCGCCAGGTTTCTTGGTCCTTGATGAGATTACGATTGATCTAAGCAACAAACCCAAAAGCAAGCACAACAAAAATAAAATTGACTGTCAGAAATAAAAAAAGTGATTTAACTCAACATAACAATAACCTTGGAAACCCAAAGTAAAAGTAACGTTCAAGAGAAGGACATTTACGAACTCACATCAGCAACAGCATTTTTTTCTTCAAGATATTTCTCCAGTTTGGCTTGCAAATCCTGCATCTTCAAATTTACAGCCTTCTCCACTGCTTCTGAAATAGTACTTTCCTTTTTACTTTTGGCCTCCATAAGTAGAGATTCATAATACTGAATTTAAAGAAGCAAAAACAGACGAGAGGAAAAGATTAAAGCATATGATTGGAAGTAAAAACAATTCTAATGAGATCAACAGCCGCATTAGGTAGATGCAAAAGTAAAAACACAGAGAACAGGTTAAGTGGCGTTTAGCGACAGCCTTACTTGTCTTTGATTCTCAAGCTGACTGGCAACAAGTCGGTTATACTCGTCTACAATCTGTTGTAGCACAACATCAAATCAGTTATGCAAATAAGAAAACGAAAAATTACGGATAGCGCTAGCTAGAGTACATACAGTGTCAACTTTGCTACTATAGAGGGCTCCACCAATTCCAGAATCAGCACTACATTCACAACCGTCACAAGCCTCTTCCAGTGACATACAAAGAGAATCTGTATCATTTATTATTTTTCCATCAACTTTCGATTGGTTCAGGCGGTGAACATAAGCATCACCAACATAATCCCAGATCTGCTGCCTGTCCAACTCAAGAGAATAGCAATGTTGCGTATCCTTCCAGTGGTTAACAGCATGGCCTTCAGTATATCTGAAAAAAGTAACAATCAATAATTTTCTGTGCACAATAAAGTTAACCAAGACAACGCCATATCTGATCAAGTAAAGAGCTATGTTGCTTTCTTGCTTTGAAGACAGAAATAACCAAAGAAGAAAGAACAATACACCAGGTTTACCTTCCACATCCTACAAAACCACAAATTATGCAAATCCAGGGATTCACCGAAATTCCACAGACAGAGCAAGCTGGTTTTTCATCCTGCTGCTGACAAAGTCGGCACACCTGGTGGCACACAAAGATCAATTCAGGAACCATTCTTCATAAACCCAAGACAATAACCATATCAAAGTTATGAAGAAGCCAATGGCAATTCAAGCTGAAGTTCATAAACCCAAGACCATAATCGTTGGACAGAAATATTTTAAGCTATCCATTTGTCTACCCAAAAGGGGGTTAGGTTTGGTTCTTCCTGTGTTTATCACTATTACAGTACAACAAGATGGGATATGAACTAAGGGATTTCAAAAAATCTGAAAAGCATCCATAAGAAAATGGCTACATTGAGTGGGATGGTAACAAAACTGACCCTGTAACCTCCCAACATCACCTTTTGGGTAGCCAGTAAGTGTTAAACAATCTGTGAAATCTTGAAGGTCAACTGATAAAAGAATAGCAGTACATACAAGTAATAACGAATAGTTATTAGTGCATTCAACAATGCTCTTAACCAAGACTCAACAAGTAAAAAAATATTGGAACAAAGAACCAACTCACCTGACAAGATAAATAAGTCCATTTCGAAATGCAGGGACATTGAAATGAATGGTCACAAAGGGTACTCGCTATTCCGCCAGTGTCTGCATCCAATCTCTCTAACATTCAAACAAAAGTATAAATATCAGCACAAGCACTATACTTCTGGGAAAAAAAATTAAAACAGAACAGCTCCCCACACCCCACGGAAAATGGTGACTCACCAAGACAAACTGGGCAAGTAGGTAACTCAGTAAATTCTTTCTCGGGAGTCCCAGCTATTTCTTCTGATTCTGTGTAGTCCACAGAATCCAAAAACAAGATATGGCACACCTCAGCCTGAAAAAATATCAAACAAAGCATATAGAACAAACATAAGCTCAAGCTGTATAAGATAGATCATGCACGAAACCAAACCTCATTACCTCTCCGGGCGAATATTTCCTCCCATTAAAAATGCTATAAAATTCACCAGCTGCGTCCTGACTCTTACATTCAATCAAAACACTGTACCGATCCTCCATTCCGTCGTTCCTAATCCAATGAAGCAAACACTAAATCAGACTTGTTCGATGACTAATCAAACAAAAAACACAACATAATGAAACTTAAATGTCAAGCAAAGATTTCGTTTCAGTACAAAGTATTGATCATTTAGATTTGTAGCTCAAATAACAACTCTTCATTTCTTTTCAATTCACTTAAACTTATATTCTTGAAATTATCAATGTAAGCAAAATACCATCCACATTTCTTGCAAACAAAACCCAAAGTTTGCCATTTCCTCAATTTCTTCAGAAACCCAATTCAGGGTTTTGATCAAGCAACCAAACCCACAACCCCAAATCGAAAGATTCAAAATTTCTACCTGATGAAGACGAGTTCGAGGACGTGGTCGACGTGGGACCCACAGAAGCGGATGAAGTCGTCGAAGGAGAGGTAGTTGGGAACGGCAACGACGAAGAGCATGGGGGATCGAGATGCAGTGCTCGGCAGCGACGACTGTCTGATTTTCCGAAACAGGTGGACGACTGCCTTTTCGCTCGCTGAATTTGGGGGTGGCTTTAGGGTTTGATTGAGCCGCAGCGGTGGCCTTGGAAGTTGTGACGGCGGTGAAGTCTGCGCCTTCGAGGCTGAGAGGGTGGTTGGTGTCCACTGAGTGAACTCGGAGGATGAACATTGTGGTTGCAGGCTACCTGAGTCGACCCGGTTCGGGGAAAAAAGAGAGAAAATGCGACTAAATTAACAAGCTGCTGACATTCGCGGGAAGAAGCGGTTTCCCTTTTCCTATTTTTTTTTTTTTGTTGGGAGAAATCCCTTTTCCGAGTTATTATTAATATTTTTTATTTATTACCTAACTATTTCTAATATAACGAGTTATTTACAAGAAAAGAAACTTTGATCACAAACTTATTATTTATATTTACAATTAAATTTGAATCCCAATAGATTAGAATAATTTAAAATATTACCCAAAAAAACTAATTATTTTGTGAATTTTATGCAAAATAAAGTAACGTCGCATTTTGCATAATTTTGGTACTTGTGATCCATTCCTCATATTGGAGATATTTTCCCTGACCAAAAATTGTTGAATTCCTTTTTTTCCTACATACGTATTGACTAAAATGAAATTCCGTCCAAAAAATGGGCAAGACTAAAATGGAATAGCTGTAAGTTGATTATCGTGGTGGTCAATGTCTTTATATTCAACTCATTGCACCGTCTATTCAAACTTTCCCCTTTTGTATCCAAACTCTTTCATTTTCCTTTAAGTATAGATTAATGTAGAATATCGTTTGTATAAAAAGAATAAAATTAATACATGAAAAAAATATCATTTAAGACCAAAAAAATACATTTAGATACTTAGCAACATATTAATTACTTTACGATACAAGTAGTTCAATGGGATCTACATGGCAAGTTTTTACTGGACATCTGGTGTGTATTTTGAGTATTTATCAAATATAGTTAAAAATTAACCTTTAATTTCAAAAATATCACTTTTTATAAAAAATCTTTCAAATATATCCAAAATTCCAACTAAATAGACAAAAATATCCTCAAATTTAACAATCAAATAAATTAAAGGCTTTTTAGCCAAAATGATTCGTGACATTGACATAACTCTTTAATATGGTCCTTAACAATTAATAATAATCAATAGTAGTGTTCTTGAATTTGTCTATCGTGAATCATTTTAGTCTTTATTTGAATTTGTCTATCGCGATCATTTTAGTTTTTTCATGAAAAATCTGTCAAGTGCTCTATTAGTGTGATGATGTGGTGCCACGTAGGTCTCACAAATACAATCATAAAACGACATGTGGATTAAATTTAAAAACTATTTTTTTATTTAAAACTAAAAATGATATTAGTAAGAAAAAAGGCGTTGAAGGCATGATTGAAATTCTGTTGCTCTCACTTGCGGTAACCGCGACGGTGCTCAATGTCGGTGATGAGGGGGTCGAAGGGGATAGGGTTATGGTGGTGGAGTGTAGAAGTGAAGGTGAAAGTGGATTGGAGCTTGAGGCGACAATAGCTTAAAAACCTTTAATTTATCTAATTGTTAAATTTGCAGATATTTGTGTCAATTTAAGTTAAATTTTGGATATATTTAAAGATTTTTATAAAAATTAACATTTTTAAAATTAAGAGTTAATTTTTTGTTATATTTGATAAATATTCTATTTTGAACACGTGATAAATATTTATTTAACAATGTGCCTCAGGAAAGTTTCCGTTACATTCACATTGTATTTGAAGATTCAACGTTGAAGAGAAAGTCGGCAATCCGTCAAATGCCGTCTACAATCGTTTTAATATTAACCACGTAATTAAGTAAAGGGTTTAATCTTTTAGATTACGCGCTTTCGCAGCAAAGCGAAAAGAGTGCAACAAAGACTCTTCTGAATCCTGCTCCCCTCTCTGCTTTAGCAGCTCAGCTCCGTTGTGCGGTTCCGATCGTACGGACTCGATATCCACCGTCTACGGTGGCGACCCAAGTCAAAAGATATCTCCTTTCATCTTCTACAACCTCGATCGGCTCCTCTGCAGCTCTGAACAGAGCGGAGGTAAAATTACTGATAAACGCCTTTTCTTGTTGATTATTGGATTCAATCGAATTCATCAATGGCGTCAAGCACGATTCGCAAGGCGATTGGGGCGGTGAAGGACCAGACGAGCATTAGCCTGGCGAAAGTGGCCGGAAGCATAGCGCCGGACCTCGAAGTTCTGGTGGTTAAGGCCACCACGCACGACGAAGACCCGGCCGACGAAAAGTACATAAGGGAGATCATAAATCTGACCTCCTACTCGCGCGGATACGTAACGGCGGCGGTGGCGACTGTGTCGAAGCGTTTGAGCAAAACCCACAACTGGATTGTGGCTCTCAAGGCCCTTATGCTTGTTCATAGGGTTTTGGTTGATGGGCACCCTTCTTTTGAGGAGGAGATTGTGTCCGCGAGTCGCAGAGGGTTGAGGGTTTTGAATTTGTCGGGTTTTCGTGACGAGGCGCATTCAGGTTCTTGGGATCATGCGGGGTTTGTGAGGCTTTATGCTATGTATCTTGAGGAGAAGGTGGAATTTGAGGTTTATGAGAGGAAATCGAGAGGTAGGGAGGGTAGTGGTGGATTCGATCAAGAGAGGGAGAGAACGAATCGAGAGGAAAGGAGGGAATTCGAGTACGAAAATTATCAAAGTGATCGGGCATTGGAGAGAGAGAAGAGAAGAGAGAGTAAGGATAGTACACCGGTGACGGAAATGCAGCCGGAGAGGGTGTTGGGAAGGTTGAATGACTTGTTGAGGGTTCTTGATCGAATTTTGGGTTGTAAGCCTGCAGGTGCTGCGAAGAGTAGTAGGTTGGTGATCGTTGCGCTATACGAGGTTGTGAAGGAGAGTTTTAGGCTGTATGTTGAGATATGTGAGGCATTGAGAGTGTTGTTGGATAAGTTTACTGAGATGGAGTATGCAGATTGCCTCAAGGCTTTCGATGCTTATGTCAATGCAGCAAAGATGATTGATGAGCTTGTGGGGTTTTATGGTTGGTGTAAGGACATGGGGATTGCGCGTTCTTCTGAGTATCCTGAGGTGCAGAGAATAACTGATCAGCTTTTGACTTCACTTGAGGGTTTCTTGAAGGGGAAGACAAGTAGGCCAAAGAGTCCTGAGAGAAATAGGGATGAGAATGTTCGGGTTGATGAGGAGGCGAAAGAGGATGTGAATTATGAGGTTAAGGCTCTTCCTCCGCCGGAGAATTACACTGCTCCTCCCACGCCACCTGAAGCCCGGCCTAAGCCTTCGCAGCCTCAGCCTGTGACGGAGGATTTGGTGAATTTGAGGGATGAAGGAATCACAGCTGATGAGCAAGGAAATAAATTTGCTTTGGCTTTGTTCTCTGGACAGCCTACTAGCACTAATACAAATGGTTCCTGGGAAGCATTCCCATCAAACGGAGAACCTGAAGTGACGTCGGCTTGGCAGACACCGGCTGCTGAGAGTGGTAAAGCAGACTGGGAATTGGCATTGGTGGAGACGGCAAGTAATTTGTCGAAACAGAAGGCTGACCTGGCTGGTGGTTTTGATTCTTTGCTATTGAATGGCATGTATGATCAGGGCGCTGTGAGGCAACATGTGAGCACCTCACAGTTGAGTGGTGGGAGTGCAAGTAGCGTGGCAATGCCTGGGGCAGGCAAGGCTGCTAAGCAGGTGCTTGCTCTGCCCGCCCCAGATGGGACTGTCCATGCAGTGGGGCAGCAGGATCCATTTGCCGCCTCCCTCACAGTGCCGCCTCCTTCATATGTGCAGATAGCAGACATAGAGAGGAAGCAACACTTGCTTTCACAGGAACAACTGCTTTGGCAGCAATATAGAAGAGATGGGATGCAAGGGCAATTGGGTTTGGCCAAGATTTCTGGCGGTCCTCAACCGATGATGCCTCAGCCGGGAGGGTACTACTACGCGCCCTATTGACATTGGATGACCCTTGACCAATTTTCTCCTCCCGTAGTGCAAATACCTACACCAGTATTTACAGTTTTTGGAATAAGCTTGCTGCTGCAGATACCTTCTTGTGTTACTTTCTTTTGGGAAGATTTTACATCTGTTTTTAGTTCCTAGCCCTTGTGCTTATTCCTGCACTTGCATGCAGTGATAACATACATGGTTTGAGATTATATATTGAGAGCAAATTTGGGTCTTCAAACATGCGTGTTTGACTTGGGATACAATCTACAATTTTATTATTTTTTTTATTGCACCATAACCTTAAAATTCATGTAGAACATTTCACTGATGTTTAGACGATTAATATCCTCGTCAATTAGAGGGGTTAGTTTGATAAAAATACCTTTAAAATAGTAATCACAGGATGTTCACGTGACAATTTAACGAAGATATTATTAAATTTTTCACGTAAGAACAAAATAATTAAAAGCCTATGATGCGGGTCGCGCGCACACACTCGCCGAAACCTCGGGCTCGCGCCAAATCACTCAAAGACACTCCCTCACAGCCTCCCTCCACCTGAACATGCATCAAAATGTCGTCGTCTTAGACAACGGCGGCGGCCTAATCAAAGCCGGGATCGGCGGCGAGCGCGACCCCTCCGCCATTATACCCAACTGCGTCTACCGCCCGCTCTCCTCCAAGAAATGGGTCCACCCCTCCCCCACCGAGCCCATGGACCTCACCTCCGCCGCCGTCCGCCGCCCAATCGACCGCGGCTACCTAATTAACCCGGACCTCCAGCGCGAGATTTGGGCCAACCTCTTCTCCTCCCTCCTCCGGGTCAACCCCGCCCAATCCTCCCTCCTCCTAACGGAGCCCCTCTTCGCCCTCCCCTCCATCCAACGCGCCACCGACGAGCTCGTCTTCGAGGACTTCAACTTCTCGGCACTCTACGTCGCGAACTCCCCCTCCCTCGCCCACCTCTGCGAGGCCAGCCGCCGCGAAATTAAGGCGCAGTGCAGCCTCGTCGTCGACTGTGGCTTCTCCTTCACGCACGCCGCCCCCGTCTTCCAGAACTTCACCATCAACTACGCCGCCAAGCGAATCGATTTGGGCGGCAAGGCATTGACCAATTACCTCAAGGAGCTCGTCTCTTACCGCTCCGTCAATGTCATGGACGAAACGTTTCTCATCGATGATGTTAAGGAGAAGCTCTGCTTTGTTTCCATGGACGTTGATCGTGACCTCCAGATTGCAAAGTATGTAGCTTTTCTTAATTTTTTGTTATTTAGTTTGATTTTGGTTGTGGATTTCTTGAAGAATACAAGAATCTCGTGTTGAAAAATAGAACGATGTGAATTGAAGTGTGTAGCTTTTCTTAATCACATCAAGGTTTTTTGTGATAAAACACCGTCTCTGTTGTGCTAGTTGGTGGTAATGAGTGATTTGACCCCTAATGGGAAATCGGTGTAATTAGCAGTGGGCCGCTGGTTCGTCTATCCGAAATATTGACAGGGCTTTTGTTGTTTGGAAATGGGTGTTTAGGAAACATGGGAAGGACAATCTTTTCAGGTGCACTTATGTGTTGCCTGACGGCATTACGCACACAAAAGGATTTGTTAAGAAACCGGATGAGGCGAAGAGATACTTGGCTCTGAGAGACGGTGACACACTGAAAGATGTGGAGAAGAAGATGGATTTGGATAAGATGGAGGTGACAGACAAGTTGGTGGATCGAAAGAAGATTGATTTGAGCAAGAATGTAATTTTTTTTTTTTCTTACTTTTGAGCTAATTGGATAGCTGCTTGTGTTTGTTTACTGGTTTTGAGTGTGGTTTGATGGTTTTCGTGTAGGAATTTGACCTGACAAATGAAAGGTTCCTTGTGCCGGAGATGATCTTCCATCCTGCTGATTTGGGTTTGTCTTACATTCTGGTTTCTTGTTTCAATTTGGGCTTTTTGTTTACTTTTTGAAGCATATACATATACGTCCTACGATTTGTTGCTGAATCAAAAATTATAATCTCCTCTTTGGGTTCCATGTTGGTTAGCGCTTATTACTACCGGTCAACTTTTGTGAATTTTTACTTGATATTTGTAGAGCGTAGCATTGGAAATATTTTATTTACCTGTTTGTATACAAAGTGATGTCGTGTGATCAGTCCTTCGAAACTATATGCTTAATGCAAAGGGAAAGCAGTAACTAGGACCTGTTTCTGCAGGAATGAATCAGGCTGGACTAGCAGAGTGCATTGTTCGAGCTGTCAGTTCCTGCCATCCACATCTTCAGCCAGTACTTTATGAAAGGTGACCTTTTAAACTCTACATTCATGAGGAAATTCGTTTTTGATACTTACTAAAGTGTCTGAGTTGTGTTGGGCAGCATTCTCTTAACAGGTGGAAGCACTCTATTTCCTCGACTAGCTGATAGACTGTATGCACTGGTCACAACTTTCCATTTAATTGTGCAACGCCTGAAGTAATACGAAACCATTCTTTCACACTTAAGAAGTCTTTACTGATATTTTGCAGGGAGAGGGAGCTGCGGCCTCTTGTTCCTGATGACTATCCAGTGAAGATAACTCCTCAAGAAGAGTAACGTTCCTCCTTATACACCGTTCTCTGTTTAGACACCTCCTTACATTTTTATTAAAATTTTCCATGTTTCTCCAGTCCCATACTAAGCGTTTGGAGAGGAGGGTCTATTTTAGCATCAAGTCCGGATTTTGAAGCAATGTGTGTCACCAAGGCCGAGTACGAGGAGCTTGGATCTGCTCGATGTCGCAAGAGATTCTTTTAATCTTGAAGGGTAGGCTATCTGAAGACCATCTTCACCTTTCATTGTAATTATCCGTGACGTACTATTTGGTTGAGAAGATTATTAGCGATGGAGTTATATTCCAGGTAACTGTGAGACTTTTTGTACTCCACCTTTGGCAAGCAAATAGTCTGCCTCTGCGAGGGAAAATGCAGCTGAGTGCGCTCCTCTCTCCCTTTTTGTTGTAACCAGTCATCGCCCGGTAGTTAATAATGGACTTTACGGGTTAAGAAAGGGAAAGGACAGGCCTGGCAGCCTCGAGTACTAGCAATGGCACGCTCGCAACTAATTTTCTGTAGAAATTGCACATGATTTTGAATAAGAGACGTTAGTCACTGTCGGGTTAAATGATCAAACATCTATTGTTCAGATGTGTAACTTCAATGTGTGTTTTATATGTGCACTCGAGAAATCCTCCGCTCACAACTAACGCAATCTTTTTGGCCGTCTCTACAATTTTCTACAGTAATTGCACATGATCTGAACAAGAGCCGCTAGGTCCTGTTAGGTTAAATGATCAAACGGCTCTTGTTTCGATGTTTAACTTAAAAATGCTTTTTTGATGTGGACTAGAGAAAGCCTCCGCTCGCAACTAACGCAATCTTTTGGGATTGCCGTCCGTTTGTAGAGGCTTGACAGATCAGCGTATCCATACGAGAGCTCCGGCCGGCCACCAGCATCTTGAAAGTGTTAAATTTTCCTATGCTTTGAGATGACAATTTTTCTACGTTTACAACATTTTCGAGCAATCTTTCTCGGTGGACTGCGTACAAGATATTGATTTTTCATGTCCTGAATCCAATAAGAGCTTCATACGATACAAGGGATGAAGGGATATCTTCAACCTGCTTTCAATTTAACTTAAGACGAAACGTATGCAACTATAAAATGTGGACAAGTTCAATGACTAGGGCCAATCCTTCATTCAGAGAATGGTTGCGAGTCCATGCATAGATGCACCAGTTTCCTTTGGTATTGCCCGTAATATTCACTTACTGCCATAACGTCTTCGCTCTCAGGGCCTATCCCAGGCAAGTTGAGCAGCTTGTCCCTGATCAAAGAACTAGATTCATCGTCACAGTTCCCTAAATCAGAGATGAAGTTGGCATGAATTTCTCGGCAAGCAAGGATGAACATAGCGGCCGTGTCAGGTTGTTGGGCCTCACGAAGTGCTGCCAATGCCTCTTGTAGTGCACCAGCTGCAACATACAAAATGAGGGCCCTCCATATGTTGTGCTCAGCACGGAGGACATGCGAAGCCCATCTTAGCAACACCCTGTAAGAACATTAACACGCACAACTCAGCTACCATAACGACGAAAATCGGGGGACTACTAATCGCGCAATTTCACCAAAAGGCAAGCCGCAAAGGGGGATGACTGATGAGTTTATCAAGAGAAATCTACCGGGAAGGCAAAAATAGTAAGCTAATCAATTATAGTATACAGATGAAACTGGAGATGACAGAGGCGGCCTCAGAAATGGTGAACAGAAAGTAAATAACCTTGCATAGTCGGATCCTTTCAAGTGTGTAGCAGCTAAAGTTGCAGCATCTGTCCAGCACCCAGCATCTTGTAGCTGCATAAGTGATGACATAGTACTTAGTACATAAAAACAACAGCACACAAACCATTATTTTGTGCATGATATTAAAAGAAATCTCACATCTTAGATAACTGGGGGTTACAGTAAATTTGTGTAAAGTTGAACTTAACCTGAGAACAAGCTTCTTGATACCTTCCCACAGCACAAAGAAGATGAGTACCAGACAACGACCTGTCATTCCTCACCATGTTGGCTGCAACAACCTAATAATATAAAAGTATCGAAAATTCTGAGACACTTATTCCAGGCACAACATGCAATTTGATGCCACGAGTTGATCCAAATAAGCACACACCTTGACTGCAAGTTCAAGAAGAGACTTCGACACAGCAGAAGAAAGAGCAACAGCACGTAAAGCATTTGCAGAGAAGTAATTGCTCTCAGGAGGAGTGGAAAGCAATAAACTAACCGCAGCTTCTAAGTTTCCAATTGAGACGAGCCTACATCATCAAGAACATAAAGTAAATCAAGAACCTCCAACAGGGAAAATCTAGCATTCTTTTTGAAACCGTTAGTGTTCAAGTAACTGGGCAATTTGGGCATTTGGCATGTTGCCAGAGACAGATGACAATAGGAAGGATGGAACTGGAACTCAGCAAAAAGTAGGCTTCCTGTATAATTTCTCATGCACATATGCTTATATGCAGCATCAACTCTTGCTTAAACATAATCAGCAGTTAGGTTGGTAACTACATCTAAGAAATAAGAATGACATGAAATACTCACTCATGTACACGATTCTGAATAGCATCTTCTCCCTCCAACTTCTCATGCCAAGGAATACGTTCACTAGCATTTGCCCACAAATCCTCTGGCTCAAAAGCCATTAATCT